CTTTTTGACTTAAAAATGTACAAAGTACACCTCGTTTGAGAATGGCAAGGAAATTATCTATCTTGTCACATTCCTCTTTTCCATGACCCCCAACCTATGAAGACAAGATCATTTGATATCGCAATATTCCTTATTTATGAGAAGCAAAACCTTTTTTTTTAAATCCAGCCTTTATTGCTGATCAAACGTGTTTTTTTTTTATATCTTATTGCATTATTTCATTTAAAAAAAGACTGCTATCTTTGTTCGTCCTATGTTTTTGCCTTATTTGGCAAACAATAAATGATCTGAAGACTATACAAACTTTATTTATCCACTATCTGAATTCCATATTCATTTTGTAATTCAAGGGTCTTCCCAGTCTGAAGGGACAATATCAAGCCAAGTTCGTTAGAGATATCCTAAAAGATTAACTAATTTGTCAAGAAATAAAATGTCAATGTCTGGGCCTGGTAGGCATTCGTCATGCATAATAAGCCGATTTCAATTTCGTAGCAACTTTGCTAAAAATTGATTGAATTGAAGCTTGAATAAATTAAATTTGAATAGCAATTCTGACCCTCTTTCCTCGTTCATCGCCGAAATTGATATGTACCTTTCACAAGCAACACGACGGATGACACGTCTTTTCTGTAGCACCTACATGTACGAGTTCACCCCTCTTTTCTGTAGCACCAGCATGTACGAATTCATCCCTCTTTTCTGTAGCACCTGCATGTACGAGTTCACCCCTTGTTTAGTTTTATGTGAAGTGTTCTTGAGGACAATGGTTGTCTTTTTGACTTTTTTATATTCGACTTATAATTTTTCATTATTCATGCACTTTCCATTATAGTATCTTCTAAGGAAAAATGTTTCAAACAGCATACATATATACATGTACATCCTGACAAACACAGTTACTTATGAGAATTTCTAGCTGGGATTGTTGTTCTTTCAATTTTTCAAATGCACTTTTCTAAACGTTGCGCTTGTAAACCAAAGTTGTTTATGCTTGTTCACACATAATTCATCCATAAATACTTAGTTATTTCATAATGAGTACAAGTAATTGTTTTTGTGGTTTTCGTGTTAATTATACAATTTCACCTTGTTTTAGTCATATGCGTGGAATATGTTTCGTTGAACACCATAATCAATCATTCTTGCTATTTTTTTTCTAATCTCGATGCGACGTAGACTTTTAAAAAGAAAAAAGGCGCTTGAAATCAAATTCATGAAGAGTCTTGCAAAAGTTACAAATGCAAAAAGACATAAACATGACTTCTGTGAAAACCATTCAACAGGACAATATCAGGCATGAAAACAAAATGTAGGGGATTTTGATAAATTCCAGGTGCTTCAGGAAAGGTGCCTTGTCCTGGTCTCAGCTGACCAAAATCACCTGTCGAAATTTGGCTTCAAATCTCAGTTGCTTGGCTACGTCATTGTAATCGGTACACTTAACTGAGACCATAATTCGAATACCACACAGTTTTCGAAAAATCTATATTTTCAATCAGCAAAGGTTTGACATACATTTAAATACAAGGAATGTTCTTATTTGTTAAAAAGATCTGACGATGATATCGCATGCCAAATATTTTCTTTTAATTAAAGTTATTATAATATTTGGCATTGTTTCAAGAATGTTTTCAATATACTATTGAATAGAAAATTCCAAAATTGTCATACTCAAATCGATTTTAATTGTTTATTTAAAGGGGTCGTACCGGTAGAATTTTTTGTGGTTTCTCTTTTATTAGGCCTGCTGCTAAAGTGCAACTTTGCTAATACTATGGAAATGCGAACAGAATATTGATCGTGTATTGCTGAAACTATAGTATTGTCAATATAATATATAGTTGGAAGATAGACAGAGATATCGATTCTATAAACCTTTTTATAGTACAACGCAATCTATTCTACGATAAAACACCTCTAAAAGGAATCATTTATTTAATATGTTATATTACACTGTATACTTTGGGTAAATAAATTTGTTATGTTTTGCCGAACTATCATTTGGTCAGCTCTCCCTTTTTGAATACATTGCATATATGATCATACATTGCTGTGGGGATGATTATGTTTCAGAGTAACCTTACGGGCTCCAAATAGAAAAATTCGTAAGGGTTCCGCGGAACCCAGTGTCTCGCCTACTTTTGGTGTTAATCGCAGGCTCAACAAAATTGAGGAAAAAAAATAATAAAAATATTCCTCTCTATACTATCTTTTGATTGTAAGTAGCTTCTGTCCAAGTTTGGTAAAAATCCAGGATAATTTATGAATCTAATAAATGTTTTAAAAACTTAAACTGCAGAATGTATGTTATGTTGACTGGAAGAAAAACTAAGTCCATTTATAAGTAAAATATGGAAAAAATGGAACAAAATTTTATCAGAATTTCCTTCTAGATACTATCTTATGATCATAAACAAGCTTCTTTCTAAGTTTGGTAGAAATCCAGGATAGTTTAAGAAAGTTATTAAAATTTCAAAAACTTTAACCACAGAGTGAATGTAATGTTTCCTGGCAGAAAAACTAAGTCCACTTATAAGTAAAATACAGAAAAAATGGAATTTTTTTTTTTACAAAATTTACTTCTGGATACTATCTAATGATCATAAACAAGCTTCTTTCCAAGTTTGGTAGAAATCCAGGATAGTTTAAGAAAGTTATTAAAATTTCAAAAACTTTAACCACAGAGTGAATGTAATGTTTCCTGGCAGAAAAACTAAGTCCACTTATAAGTAAAATACGGAAAAAATGGAATTTTTTTTTTACAAAATTTACTTTTGAATATAATCTTATGATCATAAACAAGCTTCTGTCCAAGTTTGGTAGAAATCCAGGATAGTTTAAGAAAGTTATTAAAATTTCAAAAACTTTAACCACAGAGTGAATGTAATGTTTCCTGGCAGAAAAACTAAGTCCACTTATAAGTAAAATACGGAAAAAATGGAATTTTTTTTTTACAAAATTTACTTTTGAATATAATCTTATGATCATAAACAAGCTTCTGTCCAAGTTTGGTAGAAATCCAGGATAGTTTAAGAAAGTTATTAAAATTTCAAAAACTTTAACCACAGAGTGAATGTAATGTTTCCTGGCAGAAAAACTAAGTCCACTTATAAGTAAAATACGGAAAAAATGGAATTTTTTTTTTACAAAATTTACTTTTGAATATAATCTTATGATCATAAACAAGCTTCTGTCCAAGTTTGGTAGAAATCCATGATAGTTTAAGAAAGTTATTAAAATTTCAAAAACTTTAACCACAGAGTGAATATTTGTGGACGCCGCCGACGACGACGACGACGACGACGCCGACGCCGACGGAATGTAGGATCGCTATGTCTCGCTTTTTCGACAAAAGTCGAAGGCTCGACAAAAATAAATAATTGCATTTCCCTATTATCCTGTTGTATCTATTGGAGATATTGAGTTATGTAACAATGAATATTCTTCTTTGACATCAAGATACTGCCATAGGTGTTACACCTGGGACAATTCTTGCACCTTTTGAAATTTTCCGTGGCTTTACAACTGAATTTTGTATCATAAAGTCCAGATGGCTCCAAGGTGTCTGAATCTCTCACCTCAACCGATGATTCAAAGGAGATGCAGCTTACAGTTATTTCCCAATTGGATTATGCTTTTCTATCAATAATACAGTTGAGATACAAAAATAAACAAATACATTACATTGGCAAACATGCGACTCCCAATACACATCTGGTCTGTAGAAGATTTTTCCAACAAAAAACATGCAACATGTAACTTATATGTTGTTTGCATTAAGTTGAGACCTCAGAATACAATCAATCCCCCATTGTTTATCTCGAGGGATAATCAATCCCCCATTGTTTATCTCGAGGGACAGGAGTTCCTTGTATTTTACCTAAATTGTAACAAGTTTAAAATAACACTAGTAGAAGAGAGTACTTCTACTACGGGTTGTTGAAACGACACTGACTACACAAGAAACGCACGGTAATAATTATCTTTGTAACTATTAAAAACATTCCCTTCATATCTGTGAGGAGCTTAATATGTGGTGCAAAAACTGTTGAAGTTCAATTGTCATCCAAACCCCAATTCAAAAGTAAAACCTGATCTACAGCTGCTTCCAGATCAGTGATAAATCATCACTCCATTCAAGTTGTTACAACATGGCAGTGACTAAATGTTTAAGACTCATCCTATTGAACAAGTCTTTATTCTTCATGCTTAAATATTTAGATTAATGACCAGTGAATTCAAAACTGAAAATCAATTTCAAAGTGTAATTAATTTTGTTTTCAAACCTTTGACTAAAATCAATAATCTGTTTAGATTTATGTGTTCTTTGAAGTAATTTCCATCTTTCCTCCAATTACAAAGAATTGAAGTAGCACCATTTGTAAACACATTACCTTCTCTCTGTGATATAACAGTGTGAAATTTGATATTTAAGAAAATTAAGGGTTGACAACAGTTATTATATTTGGATGATTTGCAATTATTTTGTATACTCAAATTCTAACGAAATCCTATTATAACCTAACAAACTTCTATTAAAAGGAATATTGGACATTATTTAGACTCTGTCATCCAATTAAATCTATAATTATTGATGATCTGGACAATGGCCATGTGTACTGAAGTATTTCATAAGCTATTGGTTATTTTATAGAAGCCAGATGTTTCTTGGACATTATGTATGTAAACTGGCAGCAATGTATTCATTACGAAAATTTTGCCATTGAAAGAATTTTTTTCTTTTTCATCAAATCCTAAAATGGCCATGCTTGTGCATCAAACTACCAATACATCCTTTAAAATGATGATGATCAGATATGAGTGCAAATATTTTTAGACATAATGCAATGACCTTCAACTGTGTACTTAATGTAATTACCCTAAGGTACTGCAGCTGATGGGGGTCAAAAGTTCACCTGGTTACTGTCCACAACCAATCAAGTGACATGTGAGGTTACTAATTTTAACTTATTAAACTATTGGTACTAAATGAGAAATAGTTTTGTACATTATTTAATCAAGCACAAAATATATATCCATTCTTCATCAACTGATTACAGATCATACAATGATCCTTCTTTACAACATTCATACCTTATATCACAATATCTGAAGTAGAACAATATTAAACTGCCACTTGTAAACAAATAAATACAATGGTAATAAAAAAAACTCAAGGACAGATAAAAATTATCTTATATGACTCCCTTTCTGACCAATCAAAAACAAGCAGATATGTGAGTGAATGAGAAAGTAGATTTATGTATCTTATCAGTTCAATGTTACCCTATTTAAACACACAGAATTTTATTGATTTTTCGTATAAATTATGAATATGAGCCTTATCAAACCAAAACAACTATAAATCCTCAAAAAGTAATAAACTGAAATCAGAAAAATATTCAACATATTATAATCTCCAAAGTGTTGTCTTCTATCATTATGTAAATTCTGCACTTCTATACAATCATTTACTGTGTAAACTTGACCTTTGTTAGCACTAATTCTGGAGGGTATTTACTATTCAATATTACCATTATACCTTTATGCTTGTTGTAAAAGCACGAAACAAAGAATAAGAACTAAACAAAATAAATGTTTCCTATTAATTATCCTTCAAAAAATGTTCAAAAAACAAAATGGTCTATCTCTAATTTGATGTTTTTCCTCTCCTGAACTACTCTATCACATCAAGTCAATATTTACATTTTTACATTTTTTAAACAGTTCCACCTGACTGCTAAAAGGTATAATTCTAAAACAGCTTTTTAAATTTTCCCTGCTTTGTAATTATTTAGAAAGGGAGATAATTTCATCAAATGTAACATTGCTTACATACACATATGAGATTTTACCATAATTAAAAACTTTGTGGTAAAGCATTTACATTAAGATTTAAGCCTTTGACAATTTTTGTGTCCAAATATTACATAAGCTTATGAGATTTTACCATAATTACAACTCTTAAACTCACAACTTAGTGGTAAAGCCTTTACATAAAGATTTAGGCTTATGACAATATTTGTGTCCATATATGGACTCAATAATCATTGATTAAAAAGCAGTTTTAAAAATAGAAATATATTTGATTGTTTTAACTCCATGTCAGGATGTACTGTCATATACTTCACTTTTGTAAATGCTGCACAAATTAAAGTGTTTCTACTTATGAATGAATTCAATCTTCATTCTCAATTTTCCAGATGACTCATTTTTGACCTAAATTTTTTTTTTACATTCATGGTAAATTGTGGCAAAAAAAAGGTAAAAATAAAGCTTTAGCATGATCATGGACATAATAATAAAAAATATCATGCTTCATGAATAACATATGAATGAATATGTCACAGTGCTATTGACTTTTAACACTGCATGCATGTTTCATGAAGGATCAATCTTGAAACTATTTAAATAATAATGAATGCATACCAATATGAAATTCTGATGGATACATTTTCACAAATCAATACTTCTTTTACAAATATACTACAAAGTTTGACTTTGAGATCTCATTAATCCATAGTTTATGCATCTCAAAGGCAACAATTTTCCATGGAATATAACTTGCAAGCGTTTGTGCTTATTGCAAAAACTCATCAAAGCATATGCATTACACATTTTAGTTTTTTAACCTTGTAAAGTATATAAATGTTAAAGTTCTTAATTTATATCTAACTTCTTCAGTCCTACTTGTATAATATATAGGGTTATTGTACAAATATTTGGTGAACATTTATTTTTAGAGGAGACCTTTATGTTGAGTGTATTGGTGCAATTTATATTTGATGATTGATAATATTTACCAATATTCCTGCAATAACTCTATTATCATGATTATTATGGGATGGAAAAACTTCCAAAATAACAAGAACATCATGTTTACATTAAATTGCCTCAAGTTAAAATTTAGAAGACCAAAAGACCGTGAAATATCGGTGAATAAATATTATGTAATATTTAAAACAGGACTTTTCATACTCCATAATGATCTTTTAAATTCTAAGTCATCTACTATCCTATAAAAGTGAAAAATATAAATCTATTAAAAACATTTTTACAGTAAACAATGTTCAATGCATTCAGAGAAACTAAGATATTTCAGGGAAACAAATACAAAGTCTTGCTGCCAAAGATAACAAAATATGATTTTAAAGGAAAAATACAATATGAAATGAAAACAAGAGATACACACAAATGCACAATCAACAGCTTTAACTTGCACACTTCTCCTTTAGATCTACTCAAACTGACCACTCTCTGAATGACTTTCTCCTTTAGATCTACTCAAACTGACCACTCTCTGAAGGACTTTCTCCTTTAGATCTACTCAAACTGACCACTCTCTGAATGACTTTCTCCTTCGCTAACTTAGAAATGCAAGTATAACATATAAAGTAAAATGGAAAAATAAAACTGACTTCATGGGAAACAATGACAAGGGTTGATATTTACTTTGACTAGTAGATTTTAGTATTTTACTAAAGTAACTACATGTATATCTGAGAACCAAACCAAGTGTTTAAAGCATATGTTAAATTTCAATAACACATCCATATGGTTACTCCCAAACAACTGGCATACTATTACATCTGTCAAAGAAAATCCTTACACATACTCCTTTTAATGGATTTATTTCAATTTTCTAAATGACTCATTTCTCTTGTTCAATGAGTTTTGGCCTGAGTATTTGTTAGTGTGTGCCCTATCTGATCTGACTTAACTTTAACAAACATTTGATATGTACATCAGTTAATGTTTTCTTTAATCAAATAAGTTTTTCCAAGGGTCAAACCTACATGTACATATTGCCTTGATAGCAGTTTCCTGCCCTTGTAAAACAAGTCTTTTTGTAAAAATGTTGACAAGGAAATGTTCTCTGTAAATTTCCTTGATACACAATCTAAACAAATTTATGAAAATCCCAAATCTTTTTTTAGATTAAAAAATTAAAATCAACTCTTCGGTGAAGATATATCATTTTCCCCATAATGTAACTATTGTCAACTCAATGCTTCTGTATTCATATGTACACATGATCTGAACTGTCAGAGTTAGTTAATACAGCTACCAGGAAAATAAAATAAAATAAGATATATTACTGACATAAATGTGGATGCCAAATTTTACACCCATGTTTTAAAACAATAATGTTTTTTCACAAAATGAAAACAGTAAACTATTTAGTAAAACATGGACAGTTTGAGATCATTGTAGGTTATTTTGTGTAGTAAATAATAGTGCATTGGAAAATCCACTCACAATGCCCATAAAACGTCAAGTATTTATAATAGGTTAAAAAGTTTGATTATTTCGGTTTTAGTTATGGTACTCGTAAGTCTTTATCTAAAATACATAGAAAGAAAACACAGTTCTAAGGTTCAACTGATTTATGGGAAGACCCTGAAAAAATATGAATCTGTAAACCCAAGCCTAACTTTTATCTCAATACATATTCTTAAATAAGAAGTTGTAACTGCTAAACTGTAAAGAAAGAACAAATCAAGCAGTATTTTCTGTTATAAATCAATATACAACTGTTTGTCAGATGTTTTGATTATTGTAAATAGCAGATTTTCAAATTAAGAATCAAATTGGTTTATTTCATTACATGCTATTCTGTTGTTCTTTTATAAATGCTGTGCTTCAACAAAATTGATTTCTTTTATCTAAGGCCTTGAAGCTTTAAATTTATAACAAAAAAAGGAAAATTTTAAGAAACACAATGGACATGACATTTTTGTTCACAATGTTCATCTTTAGGTGGCATTTGTTTAAAGTAATTTCAAAATCCCTTCTTACAAAAGATATCACCATTTTAGCAAACAACCCTGTTCAGGATTCAAGTCAGTTGGAGTTTGCAAGTACCTATATATTTAAGGAATAGCAAATTCTCCTAAATTCTTTTGACATCTAATCAGTAACTTATATAAAGTGTTGTAAATTCTTCAAATGATGTAGTTCTTATTAAAAAAAATATTGAACTTTTGAAATAAACCAGAATTTATCAGTTGATTTTTTTTACAATTGTACTTTTGACTTTCTGATAGACAGTCAATGCCTTGCCCTATTGTTCATTCCTGAAGTCCATGTAATATTAAACAACAAGAAGTTTGATACATCCTACTCAAAAAAATTTGCAAATGATTCATACTTTCTTGTAAAAACATGTATGTACGATTTAAGTTTCAATTTCATAATATTTTATTCATTGTGTTAGGACAATAGGCGGAGGAAATAACTGTTGCTTTATGTGGGAAAAATGTCTTCTAAATTTAAGTTTTTTGGTACATTAAATTTAGAAACTTTGACATTTATGAATTTATTTGTGCAATGTATTCTGACATAAATTTCATTACCAATATTTTAAACTTTAAACCAGGTTTCAGTTGTGACAAAGAGAAAAAAAATATAGATAATTTGTTGATACATATATATTTTAAATCTACCCCTTAAAAATAAATAAACACAAATAATGAAATTTATCTATGTATTTTGGACATTTAAAAACTTGTACCTTAAAACACAGTTTACAAAACATAGTCACAACATCAAAACCTTAGGTTTCCAAAACTTCAAATAATTCTTTACTCCAAAAAAAACTTCATTACACAGTATTAACAAAAATTTCTTCTTCAATTTAACATCAAAATATATTCTTCCGTTTATTCAGATTATTTATTATTTGGTAGTAAATCCTATGGTCTTCCATTCCAACACATGCCCTAGTGTGTCTCATAGTAGTCAGTCTTCTCTATCTTCTTCATCATCCACTGTATCCCTGTTATACATCCAATGAAGTCAGAGTTTCATCCATTTAACCTGATTAACAATAACAAAAACAACAACAATATGCCAATCAAGGCATTTTCACGTTCTTTGTAGAAAAGCACCTAACGCCATTGCGCCTATTACACCTATTGCTCCATATTTAACAAGTCCTTTCACATCCCATGGACTGTCATTATGGTTCTGTCCTTGGTTATAGAATTCCACAAATCCTTGCTGAAAAATATCAAATATGTACTTATTACAATGCAGTACACAATATCTAACTTACAGTATGTGTTGCTTTACCTTATATGTAAAGAATGTATGCATGCATGCTAGTTGTCTTACGACTAATATTTGAAATAGTAATACATTGATGGACTGTCAGAATAAATATTTTCCTCATTACACATAAATAAAAGGAGATTTGTGGTAAACGTCAATGAGACAGCAACCCAATGATAAAAAAATAACCAAATGACATCTAGAGGGCAACATACCATCTACAACAAAAGATGTATATAACTTGTGTCAAGCTTTTGTACATGTACTTTTCGAGAAGCTTTTGCTCAACATCTCTTTATTTGCAGTGTTTAATGAACAAACCTGTTTATATTTTTGTATACTGATTGATGTATTTGCAACATAAATAATTTAATTTTGGTTTTAACTTGAAGTTAAAAAAAAAAAAATTTGGTTAAATAGCCCACATGCTGCATTAAAAATATTCACAATTTGATCCCCTTTTATTCTTATCTGAATAACTTAATGTTTATGATCTAAATCTACTGTTACTGTGAACAATCCAATCCATATTAGAAATATATATATATATACAGTAAACAGTTTATTGTCATTGTAAGTTAAGTCAATAGCAATCAAATTTTTCTGAAACACAGTGGACTACAACACACACTTCTATGTTATATTGTCTTGTTTTAAGTTACATATGCACATGCATGCATCACCTAAATTTTCTGTAAATAAGGTACTATGGGTCAAGGTCTAATGTTTTAGTGGTATTACAAGTATTAGTCACATTTCTCAGAAGCTACTTATTTCTGTAGATAACGATGACACAATGTACTATTCTGAAATTCAGAAAAGACAACCAATGACAAACTTATATAAAATCAGACTAATTAATTCAATAAAACCTTGAGAAATTGTGTTTCATTTCAACCACCTGACTGAACTGACAATACCATGAAATCAACATCTAAACACATCAGTCAACATAGAAAAAACTCACTTCCCACCTGGAGATCTTTTCCTGTTTTTAATCATCAATGATTGATTTTCTAAACTTTTGATTGATGTGAAGATTACAGTTATGATACTGGGACTGAAGTTGTCATCATTTTTAGATACCAATATAACAGTGGTGCCAGGATTTTTATTGATTGATTGTTGGTGTTATACTCCACCTATTGTCTATATCATGGGATCAGTGTTTATTGGTGGAGGATGAAAGTCCAGGCGTTTATAATTACCTACATTGTACAAATTAATGTATTTACTATGATTAAGTAAAGTGAGTAAAAGAATTGCAGTATGCATATTATTGAAAGTGATCTTACATGTTAATTGAATCCCATTGAATTGTGTAATACATGTGAATATGATGTGCCCATCCTTAATCTCTTTTTCTAATATTAAATCACTGAGGTAAATGCTGGTGAGAACCCATAGGAAACTAAATACACTTTTGTATTCAACTCAATTTTTGCATATAATCCTATGTTCATAAACTTTGAAAACAAAAAAAACTATTCAAAAGTTACAAAAGACAAACTGACAGGATTTTGCTATGATACAACATGGAAAACAGAATGGTTTGTATTTAATATCAATCAAGAGAAAGAACTACTGTTTGTTTACATATCTTTAATCAGAAAATGAAAACGATGGCATATCTCCAATATAAAAATAGTGTGCACTAAAATCAATTTTTCAGTAAAGAGTTTCCACAGGAAGGATAATACTAACGCCCACACTCACCACATAACACATCAGGAATATTATTGACTCAAAGCTAATGCTGTATAATTTTCCCTACAGTTGATTGAACTGTTTATTGATTTTAGATTTTTTTTAAATATTATCAAGATCTGAATTTCATTCCATTTAATTTGGTCTGACAACAAGTTCTCAATAGTTACCCTTATAATAATGTAATCATGACCATGAAATGTATAATTGTGACAGGCTACACTTGGTAATAGCATGTACATGTATGATTATTTCTGGAGTTTGTCACAATTTTTTACAATCCAAGAAATTCTTTTGATTTACATGTACAACAGTTTATTTGTATTAAAGATGCATTAATAAAAAGTGTGTTATTCATTTACTAGTACATGTAACTATATGTACTTGGAACTTGTAAATTAAAATTTGTATTCAGATAGGCCTATATGTACAAATGTATATAGAGTTATCCCAATACTTTATCATAATTAAAAAAAAAATGAACAATGACAAATTAAATTCATCAAACAATACATATTTATGACTATGAGCATGATTTTGTTTTAGATAACTCATTTTTTATAGCAACAAAAAAGTTAAATATAAAAAAACATGAAATTGCCAAGTTTATATATATATACCTAAACATGTACAAAAATGTAGTGTAAACCATACCTGGGGTCTGCAAATTTAAGCTAAGTTTGTGACCTTGACCTTCAAATTAAAGTTCATTCCCAAACGACTTGATAGTGGTCCTAAACTCCTGAATGCATAAAGTATCATCAGTTAACTACATTTTGTTAAATGCAACATGAACTGAATTTTGTGACCTTGACCTTTAAGCTACAGATTCCATTATCATTGATGATAAACTTAGTGGTGGTGAGCAAACAGGGAAAGAATCATTCCTTAACTAAGGACGATCCTTTAGATATGAAGTTGACATGATTTGGATGGTATGCAACTTTTATATAACCTTGACTTCAAGCTAGATTCCGTTTTACTGGGAGCAATACTCTTGATATACATGTACAGCATGCATGATTCATGAATAGTGAGAGCAGAAGCACAAACTGGTCACTTAGCCTTGGTGATAGGTCCCTGTAATATATCCAGTTTATATATTATGCAGTGATAGGAATGAAACTAATGACAAATGCTATATGATATATAGAAGACATGCTGTTTCTACATGTTTACTATATATACTCTGGAGTGTATATAACTTGTTTTAATCTTCAGAAAAAAAAACTAAGGGTAGTTTGTTTTATTCAATGACATGATGACATCCCCAACAGTGGGTCAAATTACATCCAGATAATAATTACATCATACATAATTAATGTCTGATCATGATTTCCCTTTGTCAGATTATGTAAATAAGCTGTTATATTGATTCTTTCCTTTTTGCACAGACATGCTCAAAATTGTCCTTTCTTTACAAAAATATATACAAAGTATTCCAACCATAACTAAAGCCCACATTACCTTTAATATATCAATTGAACAACTATGTAGAATTGGTATAACACACCTACCAATAGTCCAATACATGTATGTATTTACATGTACATGTAGTCTAGATGGTCTTAGTCTTTTCTTAACATCAAAGTTTAAACTAAAGACCAAAGAGCTTACATCAATCTACATTTGTAATTCATTTTGGGCACCCAATCACAACATCGCTAAATAGTAGCAGCCATGTTTGGTTGCTTTTTGGGTCATCAAACAAAATCGAAAAGGGAATTTCTTGTGTCCAATTATAAATTTTAATAGACCAAATGTAAGCATAAAACTTAATGTTGGTTTATGTAACAAGTATGCATCTGTTTGATCAAATATCAAATTAATTTCGCTATCAATGTATTCATCATTAAGTGTTTTCTAAAGAAGAATCTTTTGACTTCATCTGATATATCATTTTATTCTGGTATCACCTAAGTTGAACAAAGGTATACAGAAAAACATATTAATTTACATTACATTGCATTGTACATTTGTTGAGGAAGCATTAAATATGAGTTATTTTACAACGGTATGATCAGTATAGCCGACAGGTTATCATCAGAGAGAATCCAGTTTGTCATTTATAATTCTAATGAATTGGCACAATTTTCGAAGTTTAGATTTCTGTTTTTGGTTCATAATAGCATTAAATTTTAAAACATTACAGTTCGTTAGGTATTTCTTGTCAATAAGTAGTGTTCTATCTGTCAGGAGACTGCTGCATTCCATTACATAGTGGTATTCGTCACCTATAGCAACTCTGCACAAAGGACACTTTCTCTGTTCTCTGGGAATGTTTTGCCATCTACCGTTTTCAATCGGTAGTTTATGGTTCATTGTCCTAAACCGTGACATTGTTATAACATCTTTATCATCAAGTACGTTAAGGTAGTGTTCGAAATTATGTGATGTCTTGTATAGGCGATAATTCAGGGTTTTAGGCGAATCGTTTACCTTTCCTGACCATGACTGTGTAAACTGATCTTCTAGTCTTTGTTTAATTATCGATTTAATGTTAGGTGATGTGTTTTGGAATGACCATAAGTAAGAGAATCCACAATTGTCTAGAATACTTTTCATCTTGTCTAACAATCGCGATCGAAATGTTGTTTCTTGTGCCAACTTGAAAAGGTATCTAAACATTACAGCAGCGAGCTTACTTTCTTTACCGGTAATTAATTTTTGGTCATTAATTGAGACATTGAACCATAAAAAGTTTAAATTGAGGTCAATTAAGTTCTTTAAGCAACAGAAAATGAACACATTTAGATCAATCTATAGAACAATACTGAGAAGTTTAGAAAATATGAGAAAATTTGATTACTAAACTGTGAAATAAGGTCAAGGTCAGGTGTCTACAGCCATAAATACATGTATAAATTTATGAACACAAGAGCACCTTTAACCATCATTCTGTAAACCAATAATAGTTTACCTTTTACTATGAATTGTAAATGAAAATTTAGAATTAAAATTCAACTTGTACATGTATGTCTCACATTGTGTGAGTTTAATTGCAGGTTAACTATACATTGTATAATAAAAGGGGCAGATTTTCAATGTGATCCTGGATTCAATCAGAAATGGTACCTGGTAGTTTACCCTTCTACACTACTGATAAGTACCACCTGTATTCAACTATCGGGAAATTTTTATAAGGTACTCATAGAATATTGAGAAAATTAGAATGAATTGTTCCTAACTTACGATCAATTTTGGTCATAAGATTTTATGTGAAAAAAGGCCAGAACATTTCCCACTATAGTCTTCTAAATATATTAAAAAAAAAAATTCTGACAGGAGGCATATTTTTGGGAGGCCTGATTCAAAGTCAATCAAGTTTATTTTAAGCATACATATATAAGCATAGTTGTTTCAACAATACATACATGCATGTATCTTAGGTCAGTCACATTGCACACATCCCTTGTTTATTGTTTCGAAATGAAGGGTTATTATATAATACTTCAAATGAAATAACTTCTAACCGACTTTTATTTTCTAAGTTCCACCCTCTATACATAATCTGGAAAAACCTTATATTCAGAGATTTTATTTGATCTTTAATCAGGAATATATTTAGAAAGTGTACTAAACATACATCAAACTAAGGTAGGTAAAACTACATAAGTATGTGAATGCCAATGTCATCAATTTAAATCAAATAGAATGAATGGAATTTAAACCACAAGTCAGACTTAGGCCTTGCATGATTGGGCTTATGCCAAAAAGAGCTTTTCAAATTTAGATATATATACAAATTATACATTACATGTATACATATACCTACCAGTGGATAGTATTGTGACTCATTGAAGCATAAATAAAAGAAGCCAAATTATAAGATTAAAAATCTTCACTACCCACACAGTATCAATATATACATGTGTACTAAATTAAACATACATGTACTAGTTTCTACCAATGAACTTTCAAATTTCAACAAATATTTTTTTGGGGTCAATATGGAGAATTTTTTGCATAAAGCATTACCTGAAGAAAATAAACCTTTTTAAAAAGAATTTGCATTAAATTAAGTGATTATTTTTTTCAAATTGTTTTACATGTACAGTTACATAAAAATTACTTACTAGTTGACCCATGCAATGTTAAATGTTTGAATTGGATCAAGTTTCAAATGTTTTATATTTTAAGCATATTAAATTTCCATACAATATAATATGAATGGAACATATACTTATCAAGATAACTTAAGAATGCTGGCTGACCACAGGAATTCTTTAATAAGGCCCTACCTTAAATACTACATGTACATACATTTTGTACCATTATATAAAGGACAAATTTATAAACAGAGGAAAAATTTGAAGGTATACATGTAAACATGTATAATCAATGTAAATTTTATAAGAATTATATATAACAGGCTATTATTTGAACTTGGAATTATTTTTAATTATGGAATTTGCATAATTTCTTGTACTAGGAAATTTTTAATAAATTCCATGTTTATTCTGTACTTGAATGTTTTGTGCTGCGCACAACACTTTCTATTACAAAGAAGATAGTACATTTTCAATAGAATGTACTGTGCCGCGCACAACACTATCTATACAAAATACATTTTATGGAAAGTGTTATGAACTGCTCAAAACATTATAATACCAAATAAACATGAAATTTATTAAAAATTTCAAGCACAAGAAATTATGCAAATTCCATAATTAAAAATAATTCCAAGTTCAAATAATAGCCTGTTATATGTTATGTATAATGCAAATGATCAAAAGAAAGGCTAAGAATGGCATACATGTACAAGAATTATATAAATATACATGTTTTATTATATTTATCCCTCCATTTAAAACTCTGACTAGCTATAAACATAATGTGCCCTGCTTCCAGTTGTGAACCTGATTTTTATTTTTGGCCTTGCCATATTCAATGATATCTCCAAAACAGCTTACAATCCTCTTTTTTTATATAGTGTTTGATGTTCATGATGTAGGTACAGTAACTTTGGTGTGACCAGCAACAAAATAATACAATGCACTTCTAATTTTTTTGGGAACGTACCATGCATGTACATGTATGAACTGAAATTACTCAAGGCAATTACAAATTCTTTTTTGATGATTAATCTATATGTTGATGAATTAACATGAATGTTACAAACTGACAAACTGTCATAAATCACGTTATTAAAAATATGGATGTTTGTACCTTTGATCCATGATTATTAGTTATCTAATTTCATATTTACAGAAAATCCATATGGACATGTTCACTGTATTTTCTATGCATACCTGTATCAAGAGTTACCCTTATGGTTTTCTAAAAATATTTGAATTGAATATATAAAGTGAAATACTTATCTAAATAAAAGAAAGTGTCCATGGTACACAGATTCCCCCACTTGTAAATAAGCAAAAGTTATTGTACTAATTCAAACCTATTGATGTTGTGTTTTCTTTGAAAATTAATGAAATTAATTTCCGGTGTGGGGGGGGGGGGGGGGGGGTACATGTACATGTAAGTCACTAATTTAATTTCAGTGTTTTAAAGATGTTTGACAAAGGAGTTCAACATCTAAGACTATTTACTGGTAGATATGTACAGTAGATGTAGAAGTAAAAATTAATCTGCAATAAATATTGATGACCATGGCCAGCTATATTGGAGAACTGCCAGGTACAATGTAGCTATTGATGCTGAATAGGCAAGTTGCCAAATATTGATTATAATTTACTACATTATAGTTTTTGATTAAGTTTAGGCATGCAATGATCAGAAAAAATTAAAAGTATGTAATATCAATATTCATCTAGACTACATTGCTCATTGTTGAAGGCCATACAGTGACCTATACTTGTTTTTTAAACCTCTCAGTCATTTGGTCTCTGCAGGTGGAGAGTTATCTCATTGGCAATCATAACACATCTTCTTATTTTTATATAGCTGGACACAGATAATCTTTCCCCATGATGATATTAAATAAAGTGTTAAATCAACATCATGAAAACTGAAAAATAAAGCTACACTAACAGGCTATGTCACTAAGAAAGAAATATATGCAATCCTAAATGCAAGTTGAAAGAAGGACCACTTTTCTGACATCAATCATAAATTTGTACATGTATGCAAGAAGCATACTAACGAACAAATACATGATGTTCATTTAGGTACATATACAAAAATAACATGTAGATCCTACTTGACTGAATTTCCTATACACAAGTGTTTTATAATATTCATTAAATCTTATTGAGGGATGAGGGTGATTCTTAAGCTGTGTCCTGAAATTGGTATGAAACATACATGTACATGTACGTACATTTTATATTTTTGTTTACTTGCATTACTTATTTCTTTACACTGCATGCTCCCTATTTCTAATTTTCCTTTAGACTACCTGTATGTAAAGCACCTTTCTGTGAGTACATATACCTTGCAAGGTATAAAACATAGTCTGAAATCTAGTACAGTATTACTCTGTTCTAATATAATTTCTTACACACAAGTCTTACCATGACCAGGGATTTGTGAAATGTACTTTGTTGTAATTACCCCTAATAGTGTATGCCATGTTCATGAATTAATGTCACTAAATCTTGTTAAATGTAAATTATTTATTTTAAATGAAAAAATTTTAGAAGATGTTCAATTTATTGTTTACAAGAGAGCATGTTATTGAATGGTTGATCAACCGTGATGACAAAGGTGACAAAGGAAATAAGTGGGTCTTTGTTGTAGGTTAATCAAAGGTGCTAATACCTACCCAACCACCGTTATCTGTAATCCATTGCTCTAAACTATTACACAAATAGGTAGATACCCAGTCAACGATTGAATCCACAAGTTGTGGCATTCCTCTTTGTACACATTTCACTGACAAAGACCCACCAAAACCGAAAAGAGCCACAATCCTTCCCCAGTTAATATTCCCATCAATAAATAATTCCTGAACAACTCTTTGAAACGTTGGATATGCAGTAGCCTCTGTTATGTGTAATTGGTTGACCATATCGTCAAACTGAGTCTGAAATCTTTCTTGGAATTCATCCCCAAGTGATCGTAATTTGAGCTGAATTTGTGATGGTGGCAAGTCTAACGTAGGGCAGTTGTCCCACCGCATTCCATGTTTACGAAGTCGGTCATTAATAAAGTCTGCCACTAAATATCGTGAACTAAACTGGTTCATTTCAATGTTATTGTTTAAACCCGTCGTTTACATCCTTCATCTTGATTTAATCCATCCTTCTATAGATACAACCCGATATAACAACACTACGTCTGCCGATACGTTCGGGTTCTCTCGTTCTTATCAATGAAAACTGTTCCCGACAGTAACAATTGATGTACGTCACAGTCAACTAATTATCTCTCTTATTTGCCGATAATGTTGCAGTTCTCACTGCACGTTTGAATCCTTTCTGTATACAATAAAAAATTCGCCCCAGCAATAGTCAGTATATTAAATTGTTTGATCACATTCCAGACATTCCCACTCAGGCTTAATCTATGTCAAAGTTCAAAGGTCCTTTTTCATTCATTGATTTCTACGTAATACAATCAGCTGACTGTCAGAATTTTTCCGCGGTTTTAATACGAATTTAAAATTTGAAGAGAAATAAAACTAAATTCCTGGTCTTTCAACTTCTCTTTATGCAGTAGTAATGGTATTACAGATATTCTAGAGAATGTTTATTTTCTGATGGACCAGGTTATTTTAGAAGTAAAAAAGTTGAGTTTTATTTAACGAGACTACCTCGCGGTCTCAGCCCATAATTATTCATGACTAAGGTAGCATTAAAACATTGGTAGTAAATTTTCGGATGGTCCAGTCAAGTTTTGTTTTATCTTTTTGTGCAAAAAAAGGCATCGGTATCTCGTAATCTAATGTAAAATAGGCCCTAGAAAGCTGTTGTGATTTATGTTGATGTCGGCCCTTCAAGACCCTTCAAAGATCCGCGTCAGGTAACGTCTGAGACTAGTAGTCTCAGGTAACGTTTAGCAAAGTTTCAAAATAGCGGCGGAGTTTATAAAACTTTCAATTTCAATTGATGGCTTCAAGTTTTACCAAGCCTTGATAAATTTGCTATTCCATAGTTTCTTATAGAGGGACAAGTGTCGTATATCCATTTTTAACCAAAACTGACCGTTAATCAACAACCCGCAATGATAAAATTCCCAAAATTAGAATTATGCATCTAGCTCCTTATCAACACACGTATATTTGAATGTCATCTTTTTGACACCAACATCATTCTATTGAAACTTTAAAACAACGGTGTCAACGGCGGAATGAGGGGCTGATATTGAAATGTTTTGGGGGACGAACCGGGACTGAAACTATGGAAAAGGACACTACCTACGTTTTACCGAGACTGCAATGATTCATTACATGTTAAATATTTACACTTTATTTAGGTGACTGACCTTATCTCCGAAAATAAACTTCCCAAATCAAAGTTGTTTCATCTCCTCAGCCATCTATCCTAGATTTGAGATTTTGAAATATTTTGACTTCAAACATCACTGACGAGACATTATTCATTTTCATTGCGCATCTGGTCAACAAATTTTGAACCATTTAAATGTTATTTTCAGAGCTACACATAGCATTTCTTATTATTTCAGCTTATTTTCCCTTTCTGTTATGTTCCTACAGATACAAATACCAAAAAGCATAGAGGCATCAGCACAAAAAAAAATAGAGCTTAACACATGTTATAGATGAACATTTGTGCCTTGGCATATTTTACGGACATTTGTCTACACTTGAAGCACTGTAGATTGTAAGTTGATCTCTAATTTTGTTTTGGGAGATACCCTCTCTGATGACAAAATTTTGCGTACATCAAAGTCTTGTTCGTATGTCTATGCCCCCGCCGTAGGCGACAGGGTCGTTAAGTGTTACCCTTGACCGTCCGTCTTTCCGTCCGTCCGTCCCATTTTCGCTGCAAAGCTTGAGCGGGGACATTTGTGTCCTCAGACACATTCTTCTTTTATTTGATAGTGGTTTTTTGGGTTGCTGTTATCAATGGCACACATATGATGACAACTCTTATTCACCTGGATTTCTCAGCACACTCAAAATAGCATATGACTTAAGTTTACTTAGGTTTCTAAAAGATAATATGCATGCATTACCTACTTTTGGTGTGACCTTATATATCCTTACACCACATACTTTGTATTTGAGGCTATTATAACCTACCTTGTCCTTACATCGTTATTTGCGTGTATGCAACTTAGTACTGAACTTAAAAACTTGATAAAGGCAACGAATAGTAAAATATAGTATTAAATGCATGGACTTACACCTTATACAGGATTGTTTGTCAGATCGTATCTGTGAACTTAATGTCTTTGGATGAAAAAAATGTCAATGGAGCATAAACTGTATTTGAAATTACATACATTTTTGGCGACACTTACTGGACACATCTTTAAAGCTCTATTATTGTCATCATTTATTATCCGATGATTCGATTCGGATTTCAATATAAGTCTTCGAATCATGGAATGTAGGTCACAGTGGCCAACTTGTTGCTGGGATATTTATTGCCCTCAAGATGTATCTTAATGCTTGGTTATATAATTGACGTTTATTCAGCATTTAAGAACTGTTCCATGATATTAGAATTAATATAAAGAAATGAATCGTAAAATGAAGGTGAAATGAAATTTTTTGTAGAGGGAGCTGTTATACTAGTAACCCTTCATGCATCCTCACATTCAGTTAAATGTTTGTAGGTCATCTTGTAACTGAAAATTGAAAACGGAACGTCAAATTAAATGCAAGTTAATGAAGTGTAAATTATAAGTCATAGGAACCTCGTTGTAGTATTTGGTGTTATATTCGTGGAAGAGGACACCAAGGGTATAGAATGGAATAGAATAGAATATTTTTATTTCCCAAATTACAGGGCCCATAAAGGGCATAAAATCAGATACAATTGATTTACATAATTGGTAACAACAACAATAATAGTCACTTGAAAATATATATTTAGTATATTAGCATTGGTCAGAATCAGAGCCAAAAACCACATATATATTGTGAATAAAAGAATAAAATTACATTATATGCATTCATTCTCAAATCATTTACTTGACTTAGTGTCAATATGCATATACCAATAGCCCATGTGAACTCCATATGGAGTAAAACCGTACCCATTAAATACAAAAATATAGAATTCTAAAATTTTCAAATTGATTGTTTACAATGATAAAACTTACCCATCCACCGTGTGTTTGTATCCAGTTAGATAGATTTTTGTCTATATAAAGTGTTATCCATTCTATTACAGAATCTATAAGTTGTGGTAAATCACGTTTCATACACTGTGTGGCTAATGATCCTCCAAACGAAAATAAGGCTACAATCCTCCCCCAGTTAATACCTCCATTAAATAGTTCCTCCACTACTTTACAGAACATAGGATATGCAGTGTTTTCTGTTATATGTAACTCGTCTATAAGATTTTGAAACTCATTTCTGAATCTTTCTTCGAATTCATCTCCCTTTTTTCTAAGAGTCCGATGCACATCAAGTGGTTGAGGGAGGAGTGAAGGGCATTGATCCCATTGAACCCCGTTATTATTAAGTCTGTAGTTTATATAATCCACAACTAAATACCGGGTCCCGGTTTGGTCTGTATTATTTTCCATATTTAACGACTTCCGTTCACCGAATAAGGATTCCTGTGAAAATAATATATAATAGATAATACAATCCACCGTAAAAAAAAAAACCTCACTGAACTTCTTTGAGTATTCACATATTTACACAAAAATGTAAAATGTTTACGTTGAAACACACCTTCTAATATCATAAACAAGATACTGAATCACATGACTGGTTTTAACTATAAAGTTTAACAACTATATATATATATATATATATATACGCTTGACATTTAAGTAAATACATCTACATACAGCAAAACTTATGTTGTATATTAATAAATATTTACCTTCGTAGCAAATGAGAAGGAACGACCTCTCATCACTGTATTTGATTTTTAGCCAACTTTGCAGCTTTACATAATTATATTCTGGACAATAATTCTGTATATCAAACAAAAGGTTACAAACTTTTGATAAGCAAGCATTTGTACATTTATATATATGAAAATTGCAAAAATATTTTTTTAATGGGAAAAAATGAGAAATTGTTTAGGTTAACCTAATATTGGCCAGTTATCCCGAATAATATGGTTGGTAGTGAATTGGCTGTTGCAAAATACGGGTTTTCAATTACATTTGTATATAAAATAGCGGGTTTAAACGAATTGTTATAGTTGCAATACTTAAACATTGTTTCATTTTTCCTTATAGCTGACACCGTATTAGTTCACTACAGAAGCGTGGATAGGCGTGGCATATTTTGCATTTTGCATAAGATAGTTTACACTTATTGAATGTTGAAAATCGTTCTAAGTCGATATACCCTCATTTATTTTCATACATGTATATATTTTCAATCGACCCTATTACTTCTTGAAAACGTTTAAATCCATCAATAAATCTCGAAAACATTGATGCTAACAACACAAAAAAAAACCAGAAAATAAATATTTAGTCCTAAACTATATACCACTATGTGATTTTGGTTATATCTGGCGCTGTTTGATACAACTTTGACGACGTCATCTACTTGAATTTATATTGAGAATATTTTATGTTATATAGATACAATGGATAAGCGTGGATTCTTGAAAAAGAAACCATGAGCCCGGAGGGCGAATGGTTTGTTTTTCATGAATCTACGCTTATCCATTGTATCTATATCTTAAACTATTGTGTTAATTTCTTTTCAAAATTAAAGCCTTTTCTTAATTAGAAGGTATTGTAAGTGAGTTTAAATAACCATGTCATCGTGTCCAACGATGCAATGATAAATCTCAGATCACAATTAATTGGTTAACAAAATACACATATAACACTTCTACCTTTAAAAATCTTTATATTACCAGGCATATGAATATTATCTGTTTATACAAAATAAGACATATTCGAAATTATTTCTAATAAAATTGAAAATGGAAATGGGGAACGTGTCAAAGAGACAACAACCCGACCAAAAAGCATATATAAAGTATATATAATAAGTATGTTATCGAAATTTTTCTAGCACTCTAGGCACATCACGATTTTCTCGCATAGGAATTTGCGAACAAACCTTTGTAAAATTATGTAGTAAAACAGATGAAATCATACTATATTTATAAAACAAAAATTGACAAATATAATGTAATCATTTTTGTTTCAAACATGTGAAATAGCCAATAATAATTAAAAAAAAACGGTAAAACTCGCTATTATTACAAAAATATCCACTATAACATGCAAAATTAGAAAAAAAAAAACAGAATAAAATAAGAATTGGAACAACAGAGAGAATACAGGGATTCGAACCTAACCGACAAATCCCTATCTTTAACTCATTGATTTTAACCATGCTAACCTCGCGGCTACCAACTCATACTATACGACTGCCTATTGTGTCTATATAAAGGAA